GGAATTCCTCGAAACTATTTTCGAGTTTATCAGTATCTGCATCTGCAACCGTAGCTGTATCTCTATTTGTATCTGTATCTGTATCTGTACATGCATGTGCATTTATATCTGTATCTATATGTGAGTCTAACAAAAACAAGTCGTGTCGCCAGGCCGCAGATTCTGATTCAGTTTCAGTTATTAAGGCGAAGCCGCAACGGGCAAAAAAGGTAAGAAAACAAACAGAAATGAGCCATGACCATGTCTGAGATATGTTCTTTAGCTCGTGATTGTTCTGGCTCCTTTCCCTCTCTCTCTCCCTCTCTCTCTCTCTCTCTATCTCCCTCTTACTATTTCTTTCATTTCCATTTGTGTTGTTGTTGTTGTTATGATTCTACATTTTGTTGGGTTTATTTGCGGTTTGACCAAAAACAAAATCGAGTTAATGAACCATCTAGAGACCCCTGCCAGCAATTGCCAACTCATTTTCGTTTCATTTGCTTGTTTATGCTAATGATTATCTGGAAGAAGTTCAGGTAGTCCCAAAGAGATTACAAGTAGTTCAAATGATAAGCAGAGACCACACACAAGAGCTCACTGAGTTCCATCTGATAATTGTTTAGCAAGTTTTTCTCCATTTATATTCTTCCATTTAATTGGTGCTACTTTACCTCTATATTAGTCTCAATTATAGCAGAGTGCAGACAAATGAACTAGTTCAATTTTAAGGCATTTTTCAGAATGCCTAACAATCTATACGTAATGCAATTATTTCTATTATTAATCATTGAATCGTGCTCTTTATTGTATCTATACAATCTTATATTGTACCTCTTTAATCACTGAGCTAGGTGATACTTCGCCTATTTACTATTTTCAAATGATCAGCAGAGACCACATCTGATGATTGCTTAGCATTTACTTCCTTCTTTTAATTGGTCTCACTAAATCTCAATTTCTTTAGAATATACACAAATGAACTAGTCCAATGTTAACAGGGAACTACTTAGGAGAATTTTTCGTTACATAAATTATTATGTAATATATGTATTAATAGAATGCAAATATTATTATTATTTACCAGTGAATCATGTGTAACTGCAGCTTATTGCATAATATATTAAAAATTGTACCTTTTGAACCATTGAACTAGTTCAGCTAGTTTACTTATTCATTGAATTGAACTAGGATCGAAAAACTCTCAGCTGTCAATAGCATAAATATAAAATATGTCAGGGTAAATTTACATAGTTGATAGAGTTAAACAATTCTGTGGAAATACCCAAATATATTTCACTACGGGCCTTCACTTTGGTGCATTCAACTCTGTGCCCAGCAGGCGGCAGTCGTTGGAGCCGCGGAAAAGCACAGGAAATAATTTACGAAAAATGGGAAACTGGAGTGCGGAGTGCGGAGAGCGGGGCACACACTTCCTTTGACAACTGGCAATAACAATAAAAATCAGTGAGCATGTAGGTTGACATAGACATAGACATAGACATCGAGCATAGAGCATAGCAGAGGGCAGACAGAGAACTGGCTGGCTCGGAGCACGCCGAATGTCTCAACTAGACGGCGACGAAGTCGCGTATAAATTGTGTCAGCTAGAGATACGCTGGCCCACAGTAGGTGGCAGCACTGGGGACAGAGTCGGTGAGGCTGTGAGGCTACGAGGCTGAGGCAGACAGCCATGTCGCGTCGCTACGACTTCCTCTTGAATGTGCAACATGTTGCACACTCTCTGCATGTGTTTGTGTGCGTGTGTGTGTGTGTGTGTGTGTGACAAATTCCTCGCTAGCATTTTAAAAATAGCGCCCATGACTTAATCAAATGCAATGCCCCGCAGGCCGATCGGCCGCACGCTTCCATTGACCCTTTCGACGGTGACTCTGACTGTGTGTGTGAGTGAGGCTTAGGCGAGGCAGCTCCATCTCTATGGAGTGAGCGAGTGGCATGCAGCACTAGCTGCAGTTCACAGGTTCATGTGAAAGTTAGAGCTTGCCTCTTACGGCCAGCCGAACGGTTGAGGCTGTCTTCAAGTGGCGTCGTCTACCTTCATGTCACGAGCAAATGTCACTCGCATGCGCTTGCCTCGACGGCTCTTGAACTTTTTTAACCTTTGTGTGCGCCGTGTTCATAACTAGCTTTGGTGGGGCGTGCCTCGAGCTACAGTTGTAGCAACAGCCACAGCAAAAGCAACAACAGCAGCAGGAGCAGCAGCAGGAGGAGGAACCACAGCGAGCAGGCAGGCAGGAGCCATTGGTACCATATCCATATCGTATGTCGAATTTTTCAGAGCGTGCAGTCATGACGATGTTGTTGTTGTTGTTGTTATTGTTGTTGTTGTCGCTGATGTTATTGTTATGGCTAAACCTATTGCTGCTGTTGTTTGGCAGTATTTTTTAATAGCTTTGCTACCGAACCGTGAGTCGTGACCATTGTGCAGTCAATGCGCTGGAGGACTACTCTCGTTGGGGCCAGAAAGGAACTAAATCGAAACTAGACAACGACAACAACGACAGCCAAGACACTCAAAAATGTGTTTTCCATTTTCTTGTAATTAGCGTTGCAACTCGTGAACTCGATATACACAAATGTCGACTGGCAGCGGGTTCAGCGGGTTCAGCGGGTTCAGCGGGTTCAGCGGGTTTAGGCTCAGCCCAGCTGAGACTGCAGTTGTTTCAGCTGTGTTTGTCAACTGCCTCTTGGCTCGTTGCCAACTTGGAGCTCAGAGCCGATCGAATTGCAATTGCTGATAAATGATGCGCACGCTTCGCATTAAGCTCTGCCACCTTCAATGGGACGCCTAACCTCCTGGCTAATATGTCACACACTCGGCCAAAGCGAAATATAAATAATACAAATGATCTGCTGTTGCCCGGTGACAGCGGCTCGGTTTTGGTCCACCCTAATGTGACTGGGCCAGATATGTATATCGCTTACAGGCTAACAGCCACGCCCCGCCACGCCCTGCGTCCCCAAAGTAAAACGCCTACCACATGTCAACATTTAACATCAGTTTTTGAGCTTTCCTAAGCGACGCATCTTTGGCTCTGACTCTAGAATGTATCTGTATCTGTATTTATATCCGTATCTGTATCTGTATCCGTATCCATGTAGCCTTTATGGATGCTGCTGTTGCTGCAAGTCGTGCCCGTTGCTGTCTCTCACGTCGTCGTTATGATAAATGATGCGCCCTTTGTTCTTCGTGTTGTTGCTTGTTGTTGTTTTTCCTAATATTTTACTGAGTTTTGTTTCGTTTCGTTTGTTTTTCTTTTTTGTATTTTTGCTGCTTTTGGGGTTTATTCCGCTTTTGGAGCCGCGGGCGCATCGTTCTCGTTTCTGGTTACTCGTTTACGGCTTTGATTGTAACAAATTTGTGCCAGGCTAAATTAGCAATGTTTTTTTTTTTTGTGTGTTCTTCTTTTATTTTTATATTGTTTTTCGTTTTGGCCGGCGCATGGCGGCAGCCTCTTCAGTCAGTTGGCGGGCAACCATTTGGCACAGATTTTACTTTTAGCTCTCGGCCCGCAAATTGGCTTAAATTAATCATTCAAATTTCTTGCCTGACGCTTTGACTAGCTGACAAAAGTTTATGGCTCAGCCAGTGTGTTGGCCAAAAATCAATAGTAATTAACCTTAATCGCTTCTACACGCTTCTACCGCCACAGTTTGACTGCCCTGAGAAGCTGCCATCGACCGTTGGCCATCATCAAATGCGGGAGAGTCCAACGCGCCTCAGAGGTGCAGCGGATGCTGAAAGATCCCAGCCATCAATCTCATCTCGTTCATAGTTTTGTGTCGGCACAGATGCTAACGAAAGCTACATAGTAACAACAACGCAAAATATAGCCAAAAGCCTAAATTATTTCTCGTAATTGAAACAAATTTAAAGTTTTCACTAAGCCAAATGCATTTGATAGCAGAGTTCTATAGAACTGGAACTAGAACTGAAAAAGAAACCTGTGGTTCAAAGACCTTAACATGACTTAAGTCGTGCTTGACATTTTCCATAGTGAAATATCATCGAAAACTGTTGAGAAAGTAAAGTAAGTAACTGTTAATGGCATTTAACATGCAGTTAACAGATGATAATTATTGCCAAAAAATACGAAATATTTATCCTTTTTTTTCTTTTTTTTTTTTTTTAATTAAACTAGATCAAGCTCATATGACAGAAAAAAATATATATATAATCTGGTCCTCCCAATATTACCATATGATGCAATTAACAACATTATTCGCTGTTAATACCAACATTTCTACTCCAAATTTAAACTAAAAAAATAACGTATACTAAAAATAACTTATACTAGGAGAACGCAGAACCATATATTTTCGCAAAAAGGGTAACGGTATTTATTATTTTAACACTTTTTACTTTTCTTTATAAATATTAATAGTATTCGTATAATATATTATTAGATATATATGAAATTATTTTTTATATTTTATTTCATTAATAAGATTAGTAATAATATAATTATAGAAACGTTTAAAAAATATATGAGCATTAAAAAAAAAAATAAATAAATAAAATTAGATTCACTACTTAATTTTATATATTTTATCTGTGTAACAAGTCAAGCAAGGTTTTTAAATTCATTCATTTGCAGAAAACAATTTAAATTTGTGTTTTTTATTATTTGAGATTAAATTGTTAAATAAATTCGTGACAGTTACCATATCCAATATTAGTATAGAATTTAACAACCGAATGTTTATTGAAATGAATTGAATGGAAAAAACACTTAATCGTAGCTCTTTTATTATTTATGAAAAGCTTTTGGGCTTATATATAATCCTGTTATTTATTGTGAAGATTTTGATTGCAAAATGAAATTAAATATTGGCAACTGTAAAAGCCAGGTGTGCTTGTTTCCTTGTTTCTACTTTACTTAAAACTTTAGGCTAATTTATGTCATTTAAGAGACTACGAAGAACAGATCAGGAAAAGTAATACTTAGATTAAGCTAAACAGAAACTGAGTTAGCGTTACTCTGGTTAGAGTAACGATATACGAGCCCAAACCACTATTAATTCGAACAGCATGTTTTTTTTGCAGTGCGCAATGTTTAACACACTATATTGTCAATACTACTAAAGATAACACATACCAATTCATTTCGTCTTAAAGATAATTTTATTCTCTTCATGATGAAAAAAAAAAATAATGCTCTCTTTCCAACAACAACAAAAATATGAGTAATTTACTAAAACGGTCTACTTAAGAGATAAGAAAAAATTGACCACTATTAATTCGAACGCTGCGTAAGCTTACCTTAATCTCAAGAAGAGCAAAACAAAAGCAGCTAATGTAACGGAATCACTATCTAGTTATGATCTGCAAATAATGTCACAATACAGCATGCAAAAAAATTTTTGAATTGCTGCAGATCAGTGAAAGTTTAGCAACGATGGTGCGTGGTAAACCAATTTGTAAAGAAATCAGAGTATTGATTAGGGATTATTTTAAATCTGGAAAGACACTTACGGAGATAAGCAAGCAATTAAATTTGCCTAAGTCGTCTGTGCATGGGGTGATAAAAATTTTCAAAAAAAAATGGGAATATTGAAAATAACATTGCGAATAGAGGCCGAACATCAGCAATAACACCGCGCGACAAAAGACAACTGGCCAAAATTGTTAAGGCTGATCGTCGCCAATCTTTAAGAAATTTGGCTTCTGAATGGTCGCAGACAATTGGCAAAACTGTCCACCGAGAGTGGACTCGACTGCAATTAAAAAGTATTGGATATGGTTTTTATAAAGTATGTTTTGTTATTAGCTGTGCATCGTACCCAATAACTTACTCGTAATCTTACTCGTAGGCCAAGGAAAAACCCTTGCTTACGCTTCGTCACAAAAAGAAGCGTTTGCAATGGGCTCGGGAAAGGATGTCTTGGACTCAAAGGCAATGGGATACCATCATATTCAGCGATGAAGCTAAATTTGATGTTAGTGTCGGCGATACGAGAAAACGCGTCATCCGTAAAAAGTCAGAAACATATCATAAAGACTGCCTGAAAAGAACAACAAAGTTTCCTGCGAGCACTATGGTATGGGGATGTATGTCTGCCAAGAGATTAGGAAGACTTCATTTCATTGAAGGGACACTCAATGCTGAAAAATATATTAATATTTTACAAGATAGTTTGTTGCCATCAATACCAAAACTATCAGATTGCGGTGAATTCACTTTTCAGCAGGACGGAGCATCATCGCACACAGCTAAGGGAACCAAAAATTGGCTGCAATATAATCAAATGGAGGTTTTAGATTGGCCAGCAAATAGTCCAGATCTAAGCCCAATTGAAAATATTTGGTGGCTAATGAAAAACCAGCTTCGAAATGAGCCACAACGGAATATTGCAGACTTGAAAATAAAGTTGCAAGAGATGTGGGACTCAATTTCTCAAGATCATTGCAAAACTTTGTTAAAATCAATGCCAATACGAGTTAAATGTGTAATTCAGGCCAAGGGCGACGTTACACAATTCTAATATTAATTAAATTATTGTTTTGAGTATGATAGTAAATCACATTACGCAGCGTTCGAATTAATAGTGGTCAATTTTTTCTTATCTCTTAAGTAGACCGTTTTAGTAAATTACTCATATTTTTGTTGTTGTTGGAAAGAGAGCATTATTTTTTTTTTCATCATGAAGAGAATAAAATTATCTTTAAGACGAAATGAATTGGTATGTGTTATCTTTAGTAGTATTGACAATATAGTGTGTTAAACATTGCGCACTGCAAAAAAAACATGCTGTTCGAATTAATAGTGGTTTGGGCTCGTATATGTATATATTCAGGTGCTGGATGGAAACCAGGTCAACAAATCAAACATTTATACGTATCTTATACACACATAAATGTATATCTATTCATGATCACACGAATTAGGTCTTCGGAAAGCAAGACTAACGCCCATTTCTCACAGCTGAAAGAGAGCAAAAACAATGCAGGCTTTCATATGCGAGCTATATGCATAGGCATACAAATGTATACATATGTATAATATATATATATTCATTCGCGAGCTGATTTTCAGTTGGTTTACATGCAGGGCCGTCGCATTTGCCTGCTGCCAAATTCCCACAGTGCATGGCCCAAATATAAACACAGAGCTCAATAAACATGACAACAGATACGGATGCAGCTGCAAAGGCATGTTGTCTGTGTGCGATGGATACATGGGGCTGCTCCACCGCCCCCCCCACTCCCTCGTTCGTGTGGCTCCATGTTGCCATGTTGCCATGTTGCAGTTGCAGTTGCAGTGGCTGCTGCAGTCAGTGCAATTGTTGCTTACGCGCGTATTCGCAATTGTCATTCACTCGCCTCCATCAACGCCATAAAATCGACAGCGAACGAGGCTAAAATTTCACTCGTAGCTCCTTGTTGTTTAATGTAAATATGATTATTCCTTTTTGTGCTACACATATAAACTATATATATATATATATACATATAGGGATATATGTATATTCATCTGAGGCAACGAGGCAGCCGGGCAAACAATGCAAGTTATTTATTATTGACATGCAGCGCTCGTGCTGCCCAGAGGGTTTATCAGTTGACAGTTGTAAGTTGTTGCCTCTGTGCAGTGGCACTGATAACCACAGCCCCGTCCCCTCCCCCTCCTTTCCCCTGGCTGGCTAAGCCCTGCACAATTGACAGAGTCAATGGGGTAGAGAGCTACGCATGCTTTAAGCCCTTGACTTGTAAACGTCGCCATCGAGTTTGGCGCGTTTCGCGTTTATTTGATTCGAATTGATTCCAGACACACCCCCTACCCCCCCCTACACACTGGCAATCGGTTTATGTGATGTTCATTTATTCAAATGCAGGTTTATTTTGTGTGAGTTCGGCTTAAACAAGTTTACGCCGGTTTTTGGCCAGAACAACTACAGATAAATGGCAGAGAGTTTATTCCAGAGTCAAATAGAGAGGGAGAAAGGTAGAGAGCGGGAGAGAGAGAGAGAGAAAGTTAGCAGAGAGAGAGAGCTGTATAGTAGGAGAAGTAAAGCAAGAATAAAAGGAACCCAAAATGAGAGAGTGATAATGAAAAACCAAGAGAAAAGTAGAGAAAGTGAAGTGAGATGAAAATAAAAGAGAGACTGACAGAGAAGAGTGGGAAACGGACATTTTGAGCTACAAACAGAGGTGACAAAGAGAGAGAGAGAGAGAAAACACATAGAGAAAACAAGAGATGCGAAAGAAACATTAAAAGAGCAACATTGGGCGATCGAGTAATAGAGATGATGACAAATAAAGAGGATAAGAAGGACATGAGAAATAGAGAGAACGAAAAACAGAGATGACATGAGGGAAAGAAACGAATAGAGAGAAAAAGTGTAAGAGGGAAAGATGAGACCGGCAGACGGAGCAATATACACACCGACAAGATATGAGAGAGAGAAGCTGTGCTAAATGAGAAAAACAAAAGAAGAAAAGAAAAGAATGTAATGTCGGTAATTAAAAAAATTAGATTCAGAGAAAAACAAAGACAAGCAGAGAGAAAGAGAGAGAGACTGAATGAGATACCTCTAAGCCAAGTTTATGATGTCTTTTGGCCAACACGACAGATAGCTAACACATTACTAGTTGAGAGAGAGAGAGAGAGAGAGATAAATGGAGATGGCAAGGCAAAGAAGAACGACCAAGTTGAAGATCTCAATGTCAGCTAGTAACACTCGACTCTGTGACACTGTGTGACCTGTCAGCTGCCCATCAAACGGTAATCGATAACGAATTTGAGGCCACAGCTAAAAGCACAAAACGAAAAAACAAATTGAGTCCCCGATTGGGACGACATGAAGACGCTCGTCAAGGGCGACTAATCTGTTCGCTTCACTGATCGCAACTCAAGTGAACAGCAGAGAGATAGATGCTTATCAACTTTGAATTAGTTAATAGCTCACATTACAATCGGCGGATGTGAATAGAAAAATGAATCAAAATACGCAAAAGTCGAATGTTTTCAATATGAATATCAAATATGAATTATGGAAATAATTAAGAAGAGTATTTAGAATTCTAGCATTAAAATTAATGTTTGATGAGTATATATATTTAATTTGTTTTTTTTTTTTATTTATATACATATATATACTATATATATTTATATATTTATATTATTTTACATAATATGTATACATATTTCTATAAAACTTTTAATGTTGTAAATGAAATCAAGGCTAGATAACGTTTTCTTAATATTCTTTCTCAATTTCCATCTATTTTATATTCGTACTTTCTTGAATGAACTCGAGTGAATCATCTGGAGATTTTGATCATGCCTCAGTGGCATTTCGATTGGGAACTAGGTGAATATTATAGCTGCCTTATTGGCACCTGCTGAAAGATATAGCCAAGCAGACGAGCCGCTAATTGTCTCACATCATAGCAAAGGGCTGGGCATGATTACAATGCGCATCGGGTCGAGTCGAGTAGCTTATCGCACTTCTATATAGCTTCATTAGCTAATGGGTAATGAAGCTGATTATGCGCGCAACTCGATGGTTCTTTTAGCCTTGTGCTTGGCAGCAGACAAACCAATTAAAATATAGATCATGCCACAAGCTGCCGCAGTAACAGCAACATCAACAGCAACAGAGAGAGAAAGAGAAGGAGCAACAGACAGCAACTAGTAAAGCGAACAGGCAACGGCTCAGCGCAAACCGTTAAGACAACTTTGGCCCCCAGAGAACGCGAACGCGAATGCGGTTCGTCGAAGGCATTTAGCAGAACAAGTCCAAGCAGATGGAGAAGCTGTTGCCAACGCTATCAGCAGCCAAGATCTTGGCAAGCAAAGCGCAGAACAAGCCATAAACCCAAGACACGAGACTCGAGTGTCGAGAGTCGATAATGTAGCGCTTCTTCTTGCATGCTTGTTATGGCCAGGCGGACAACTGGATGCTGGCAGATACTCCGGTTACCTAGGAGGTGCTAAATGTGGCCACAGTAGCACCAAACAGCTGCCGTCTTTGTGCATCTCTCAGATACTCGGGGCTTGCCTGCCCCATAAGCTGCCCAGACTTATAATACTAATGCAAAGCGTATTTATTGGATATTGGAAATTGGCCAAAAGAGCGCACACAAAGCAGGGCTCTAAGCATATAGTAGTTTTTTTCTTTAAGCCACGTCTCGTTTCAGGGAAGCGAGGGGGGACACTCGTCTGGGCTTAATTTATTTAACACAGTTGGTGGTAAATTCAACACGTTCGTGTTATTGTTATCTTTTGTGCTGCTGATTCGCAAACGATTCTTAGCTTATTGTTGATCATTGTTGTTGTTGTTGTTGCTGTCATGGCTGTTTAGCAGCTGCTCCCCAATCGATCATTGCGGCAACTCAAACTGTGGGCGTGACTCAGTAGGCGTGTCGCTATTAACACCAACAAGAAGAGAACATGCAACGCATCGTTGGGAATCAGTCGGAACTGAACTGAAAGAGAGAATAGAGAGAAAGAGAGGGGGAGGAAGAGTAAAAGAGAGAAACGTAGAGTGGGAAAACAGAGAGAAATAGAAATAATGAGGGAGAGAGACTGAGAGACATAGACGTGGAGTACTAAATTAAAAGGTCGAAATAGAGAAAAGTGAGGAGAGAAATATCACGAGAGAAGGAAAGAAGGAGAATAAGAAATACATAGACAGATGAAATGAAAGAAACTGAAGGGAATATAGAGAAAGAGAGACAAAGAATAGGGAAAAGCTTGAGAAATAAAGGATAAAAACGGTTAAAGAATGAAAATCTTGCAATATCTTCATCTGTATGTTGAATATGAAAGCGGTAGAAAGAGAGGGAGACAGAAAAAGAGAGAGACACAGACAGAGAGAGAGAGACAGAAAGGGACGCAGAGAGACTGTGTGTTTGAAAAGCTTACTATCTGCAAAGCTCGACATACAATGAACTTTACAATGCGGCCTCATTAACATGCATTGTAAGCTCTAAACTCTATGATTAACACACACACAACAATAACA